GAGGGCTTGGTGGCTCCCATCAGGCTGTTCCCTCTGCAGAGCCTCTGTCTTCAGACTGCTCCCCGCCCGGCCTGTGCAGCAGTGAAGGCGAGCTCCAGTGTGCAGGAAGGTGTGAGTGTACACAGCCAGTGTGTGTCAGTGTTGGTGTGAGTGTGTACTTGTGTGTGACCTGTGTGTCTCAGCATTCGGGTGTGTGAGTCATGTAGGCTTGTGTATTACGTGTGTGTGTCATTGCTTGAGTGTGTCTGTGTACACACATGTTGTACGTGCTGTGAACATCCTGGGATACGTAAGGCAGAGCACGTACCAAGGTCCTGGGGACTTCGCCTCACATTGTGAACTCACTGTGTCTAAAGTTAGTCAGTCGTCGTCAGCTGCCATTGGATGGTTCCAGGAGTGGGAAGAAGTGGATGTGGGTCCCATCACATCTGGTGCCTGGTGCTGGGCAGCCTCCCTGCCCACCACAGGTGATCAGCACCCAGGCTGGACAATCCCTCTGCCCCGGAGGCCAGCTCTGCCTCACCTCACAAGGCAAGGAGGCTATGGTGTGGACTGGCTCAATGTCACCACTGCCACCCATTATGGGCCTGGGGCCTGAGTCTAGATGGCACTGTCACCTGGAGCCAGGTTGCAAAGGACTGCAGCAAGTCCCCAGACATCCCCTCTCAGCCCACTGCCCTGCCTGTGGGGAGACCTCAACTTCAAGAAGCTCAGGCACCTCACTGCTTCTGAGGACCAGAGAGCCAGGGTGAGCCCTGGAAGGCCACTCAGGACCCCACACTGCTACCCTCTGTTCCAGGTCTGCTCTGTTGGCCACGGACAGTGGCCCTGTGGCCCTGGGTGCAGTGCACAGCCCGGGCATCCTGCTGAGTCCCAGGATCAGGGCCCTGGCCACCCGGCTTGTTCAGGTCCCTCTCCTTCCCATCAGGCTTTTCAGTTCCCACTGCCTCAGCTGAGGACAGAGTCCCATGAGTCAAACTCACACTGGTGGGGACAGATGGGCCTTGAGGTGGCCCAGGGTTAGCTTTTCAACAAAGGAACGGTGAGCGTGAGGAATGGAGCAGGGGAAGGGGTGGGCTTGCTGCAGGTGGCATGGCGTGGGCACCACAGGGCTGCTCAGGAGAGCTGGGGGCTTGTGAAGTCCCTGTCCCCCGTCCCCTGGGCCATGGCTCCTTCAGATGCACCTCCTCTCTAGGCCCTGGTGCAGGGCAGGCCTGAGGACCAGCCATCAGGACGGGCGAGCACTCAAGGTGCGGCACAGGAACATGCAGGAGGTGAGCCCTGGGGCAGAGTGCCCACACTCTGCTGCAGCCTCCGCACGGTGCAGCCTCGGCTGTGAGCCCATCTCTAGGGTCACTTCCCTCTTACTGGAAAGAACCCCCTTCAGACTCTTCTTGGTACCACGGGGCCAGTGGCCAACTTCTTCTCTGAGACCCTCTTGTCTGAGGCTCCACAGCTCCTGCAGGGTGCGGGTGACCTGGGTGCATGGACAGTGCCCGATTGAGTCGGGGACACGCCTGCTGGCCTCTGGCCAGCACTTCAGGGAGCCTGCGGCCAGCCAGCCCCTCAGGCAGGGGAGGCCAGGCTCGGCAGGATTCCTAATGAGGTGGTCACCCAGCCCTGCGGACGCAGAGTGCCTAGCAGGAAGCTGGAAACCCAAGGTGTGGCGGTACCAAGGCAGGAGAGGGGTGGCCGCTCCCCACGGGCACCCATAGTCCCTCCCTGTCCTTGAGCTTCTCTCTCTTCCCTCCCATCCTGAAGGCTTTCTGTTCCCAGAGCCAGGTTGGATGGGTCCCTCTGCACTTAGGCCTGCTCTGACGTGCTGCAGGACTGGGGTGACAAGTGGCCTTCTTCTGTAACCTGCACTCTGGTCCCAGAGCAGGACCCGAGTCTGTTTCTCCACCTGGAATGTGCCCGCAGCAGGAGGGGGGCTCCTCCTTATAGGGATCGCCCCTGACCGTCTTCACTCAGGGGGACAGTTCTAGGCCACCCACCCTCAGCTGTCCATCGCTCAGGGGCCAGCTCTCAGGCCACCCACCTCTGCTGCCCATGTCGTAGTCCCTGTGCCCATCTTCGGCGTCCCCTCTGTATTTGTCACTTCGTGGGGTACTTTAGGCTTTCGGGGCTCGTTGGGCCCCTGACCTGGAATTCCCCCGAGGGCAGCTTTCTCTGTCTCGTCCAGTGCTGCCTCGGGTGGGCACAGCTGGCAGGAGGGAGCCCCCAGGAGGGTCAGGGGCAGGGCACTTGCCCACATGCCAGAGGCCCTGGTCTAAAACAGACGTAGCTGAGTAAGAAGTCGAAAGAGTCCTAATTATAGAAATGATGATGACATTAACCCTCCTGCCTGTTTCTCCACCCAGCTCTGTGACGATACTCTAAACAGGGCGGCAGACCAGCAGCCGGAGCGCGTTCCCCACGGTTCCAGAGGCTGGAAGTCCAAGGCCAGGTGCCGGCAGGTTGTGTGTCTGCTGAGGCCTCTTCCCAGTTCATGGACGGCACTTCTCCCTGGGTCATCTCATGACAGAGGCCTCCCAGCTCTCTGTGGCCTCCCTCATGAGGCACGAACCCCATTTGTGAGCACACCACCCCCGAGCCTGCTGGCCTCTAGGGCTCCAGCTCCTATCCAGATCGCCTGGGATCCAGTTCCTACGGGCACATTCCGGAGCTCCTGAGGCTCCGTCCATGTGTGTGTCCCCTGGAACGGTCACTTTCCTGTCCCTGCCTATTTCTTCACCACCTTCCCCACTCACCTGCTCTTCACATCAGCCACGGGCATCGAGCACTCGCCACGAGACTCTCTGCATGCAGGCAGGGCACACAGGGCTCTGAGAAGCCCTGGGGTCCCGGGGTCACAGCTGTGTGACCAGAGCACTGGAGCCCAGGGCTCAGGAGCTAGTCCAGAGTGGCACTGGCCAGCACGGGCAGCAGGGGGAAGGCAGAGGAGCCTGCATTCCACACCCAGAGGAGAGCGGAAGGCTGGCATGTCTGGGCCAGTGTGCCACCCAGGAGTGTGCAGGGGGTGGGGTGGGGGGACGCCGGACAGCTGCAGAGGAACTGAGATGGGAGGGGGCAGGCTCCAGGAAGGAGGAGCCCAGGAGGACGCAGTGGCATCCGAGAAGACTTAGGCCAAGAGGTGCCATCTCCCCCTGTGGACCTGCTGAGTGCGTGGTGCGGGGCCTCGTCCAGTGGAGGACAGGGTCCGAGCTGGGCAGAGAGCACAGTCGGGAGCAGGGTCTCGGCTGGAGTAATGAGTGGGACTTGGTGACTCACACGTGGCAGAGGGATTTCCTTAGTAAGAGCATGTGGGATTGCGAAAGGCCAAGGTAGAGCTCGGGAGCGGCCGCACTGAGCACTGCAAACACGAGTGGGTAGAGGCTGCTCGGGACGGTGCAGTCCCTCGCCTGCAGGGACCTGGGGGCTGCAGTGGGCAAGTGCCCACTTCCCTGCTTTTTACGGTGAGCAGAAGACGAGGAGGGCTCTCAGGGTGTGGAGGGGACAGGACCAATTCATCCTTCTCACACAGGGACGGGAGCACCCCGCTCTCTGACACCAGCCTGCTGTTCTTACCATGACACCAAATGACGTGGCCGGAGGAAAGGCGAGTCTGTTTGGTTGAATTACACACCACGGTGACCTAACACGTTTGCTGTCTCTCTCGATGGTGTGGCGCCACTAGAAAAGAGGTGACCTCAAGCTGGGTGCAGTGAAGCACCCTGTGCCCCCAGCTCTGGGAGGCTGAGCTGAGGGTCACAGCAACAGACACGTCTCGTCCAGAGCCTGCGCCATGAATCTCACCCACGTGCTCGCGTCCATCCGTCTCAACGTTGGTTTGCTTCACACGTTTGAAGGACGAAAACCACAAGCAGAGCCGCAACTGGCAGGGTGCTTGGTGTCCCCGAGGTGACCTGCAGGGGATAAGGGGCAGCCACGTGGCTGGGGCACTGGGCAGTCAGCACGACCACTCACTGCATCCTGGGGCAGCCTCGTCACCACCAGATCCAGACGTTGGCCCGTGAACGGGAGTGTGGACCCCGGGAGAGTGACGGACATGTGGCCTGCGTGGGCTTCTGCTGGCTCTGCTGGCTCCTCCCCTTCCCTCGGGCCTGCTCCTCACCTCCAGCCCTTCCTGTGGGCTCCAAGCCGGGCACATTCACTCCAGTGCTCCCTGACTCGGCTGCTTGGGTCCCCAGCCCTATGCTCCTCCTGCAGTCCTGGTGAGCTGAGGCCACAGGGACACTGTATGGCAGGAGGGCCTTTCTGGGTACCCTCTCAATGGCCTTTGCCTTCTAAACATTCAACAGAAAATGTTGATTCTGGCCGTAGGAAGTGGCACTTCCCTGGAGCCTGCTGCATCCCAGGGGCAGCTGCAGGGCGCTCAGCCTCTTTGGAGCTCTGCAGCTCAGAAACCCAAGGCCAGGGAAGTGTTGGCCAGGGAGGAAGGCAGGGCCTGGCTCCGCTGAGTGGCCATGTGATTTCTGCATCATCATTGTGTTGCTTGTTGAGTGACAACCGTAGGTAAGTATGAGGCAGGCGTCACCAGGACACTTCTCGCACTGGGACAATGACTATATCCCCCTCCAGCCACGTGTCACCTGTTGGGGAGGCTTAGAGAGGAAGAGTTGGGGAGGAGCGGTCATCTCTGAAGGGGTGGGAGCAATGTGCCCGCAAGTCTCTAATCTGTGTGTCATTGAGCTATGCAAGTTCAGGGCCATCGGGGCCAGCAGGAACTAGTCGTTGGATCATTTGTTGAGGACTCCAGCTACACTGAGCCTCCAGGGCTACCCGCCTCAGAGAGGAGCTAGGACAGGGCCGTGCTGGTGTCCGATGGCCTCACTGATTTGGCTGCAGTGGTGACACTGGCTCCTGTTTCACAGTCTCGCTGCCACTCCCCTCATCTTCTTCAGGGGATCTTACCTGGGGCCAGGCACTGGGTCCCCACCTGCTGCCCACGCCTCCAGGCACTGGCTGGACCAGTGGCCACCTGTTCATGGGTCTTGGCCTTTGCTCCTGGGCTCCCTATTGGCCCTGGGACCCTCACGTGCAGACTCAAGCTCAAACATCTGTTTGGGGTCCTGAAATTGCAGGAAATATTTCTGATATGGGGGACCCTTTTGACACCCCATGGAATCCTCCTGGTTACATATTTCACCAACAGAGAAGGCTAATGTCTCCCTAAAAGAAAGAATTCTTTGCCCTCGGAAGATGGGCCCTCCGGAGCCACCGGCTGCACCCTCACTCCATCCACACCTGCTCGAGGGGTCCCTCTGGAGAATGATCCACTGACCCAAGTGATTTTTCAAGGTGTACATTGAAATGAAAGTTGGCATTTAGGAAGTTCTCACAGAACAGAAATATCCCACCTGAGGGTATGTCCACTGCTTGAGAACCCAGGAGACCTAGGTGAAGCCTTCTTTCCACCAACTGTGCTTCCCTCCTTCTTTGTGGACCCAAAGGCTCTAACCTCCATGGAAGCAGAGTTCCCCAAACAATGATGGGCACCCATACCACTGTGGCTGGGCACCTGACCTGATTTATAGGTCAAGCACCTACCTGACTATCTTAGAACAGGTACTTTTCAGAATCCCATCATCTCGTGTGTAGAAACACAACCTTACAGCCTTACATCTCCAGAACTGAGCTTTTCCCTGAGCCACCATTCCTCCTGAAACTAGAAATTGTCTTGTAGTCACCCCCCCCCGCCCCCGCCCGGGTTTTAGCACTGATGAAGAACATGAGGACCCTACATAACTTAATGCTTGTTTACATTTAAGTGACTCTGGAATAGAAGCAGGTTTAGGTTCACTTTGGGGATGCGAAGGACTGTTTGCCCTCTTCCGTGTTGTTGCTCAAGTGTGAGGCCCGGGGTCCTGTACTCCAGGCGGCCAGTGCTGGTTGCTCTTGCCCTGAGCTGCAGGCTGTGTCTGTTGAATATTTTGAGGGCACTTAACAGTTCTGCTCCTGGAGTTTGGAGTGGGCAACCCCCACCACTTCAGGGCCCTCTCTGCACACCCACGTACCTACCCTCAGGGGACGAGCTGCGTGCTCACAGGCACAGCGGGTCGGGCCAGGCCCTGGGGTGTGTCCATCTCCAATGCCGCTGTGCTCCAGTGGACGCTCAGGGCTCCTGGGGGCGCCTTTCTGCATTTTTTTCTTTTTGGTGCCTGCCTTCTTCCTTCTGTGTTTAAGGCAGTAAGTTCTTTGGGGATGGCTCCCATATGTCCTTTTTCTCTGTTTTTGACACAGTGCATTCCATGAGCTAAATGCTGCCTAAACACCATTAGACAAGCACAAGCCACCTACTTCTTAAGGAAAATGTTCATTAAAACCTTCAAAATACTAGACACACGGACGTTCAAACACTCGCTGGCAAGTATCAATGTAAATATTCAAACCAAATGTTCAAGCGGTGGGTGGGTCTGTTCGCACAGGACAACCAGACGCCTGGAGCGACCCGCCCATTCTTCAGATTGTCCTGGGCTGTAGGTGGAGAGAGGTCCCCGTGGCCCCAGTGCAGGGACCAACCCGCTGCAGATTAAAGGCACCTAAAAAACCTCATCTGTGCTGAGCCTACCCATCATGGTCCTCGTTCCCTGAGCCACACGGCACCAAGGATATCACCCGCAGGGTTAGGTATCACGTGATCCGAGGATGCCGTGTGTCACGCGTGGGGGCCGCGGGCACTGGGCTGCAGTGCATCCTGAGGAGCTGGGTGTCCCTGGTCCTCCTGTTCTATGGGATGTAG